TGGACTCCATCATGACATGAGCAGTTTTTCTTGGCAGCAACAGCTGCACCAATTAGCAGACTGCTATTTTCATGACCTGAGCTATGCAGTCACTCCACAATGAGTCGTCCTTGAGTTGCCCTGTATGAATGTTTCACATTATACATGAACAACAGTGACATCTGGTGGCTCTGGCTAAAGTCTGCGTTGAAAGCAGGGCTTCAGCAAAAATTGCGGTCATTATCATTTAAGATTTTGTTTTACTTTTATTTATTTAAGGTTAAAATAACAAAAAAGCACAGTAAAAATGCATGTCCCACTTCCTGATAGGAGATTGGAATCCTCACATTGCTTGCTTCGTCTGTTTACACAACATATTCAGTCAATTGACTGATATAAAACTGCAAAGGAAGTCCTCCCAGGTGGAAAGCTAGAACCAAGAATATTTCACTAATATTTGAGCTGGAGTGTATAAGAAGGAGAAAAATGGGACGATGTGATTAAAGCATGTAATATTTTGTAATGTTTTGACATTTGCCATGTGTTCATTAGTTTGTAAATCCTCAGTTTACCTACTGCTATGTTGTTTTTCAGCCAGAAGTGACCACATCTGGATGAAATGATGGAGTTCCAAGTTATCAGCCCACAGTGGCAAGCTTGATTAACAAGGTGCATCCATAAACTTTATGGGTTCATTGCATAGACAGAGATGTCTTGTCATTTGTGATAGCAGCATATGGCTAAAATACTACACCTTTACTCATTTACAGACTTCTTGCCACGTGATTTGGCAGATAATTACTCCAATAGGCACCTACACTTCAATTAAAATTAAGAGGTCCAGCTCTGAGACTTGACAGAGAGCTCAAAGCTACGTGAAACATTAGAAACTTAAAGCATTAATTAAATGTAAAAATCTAACAGCGTACCTGTCACACCATAGGGTGGAGATGCTGGGCAAAATGCCCTTTGAGACAATTTATGAACGTTTTTTTCAAAGTTTTTCTGCACTACCCACCAGGTAGCTCTTCAGACGGATGAACTCTACTCGGGTCTCCAGGTACTTGTTGGAGTTCCGGCCGAGAATCTTGATGAACTCCACCAGATCTGCACAGAATTTGTAGCCTCCCTTCAAAACACACAGGACCATTATGTTGTCATCCCGAAAGTCATCCATGATGTAGTGGGCCAGGCGTTCTGTCCTGCAAGAGCAAATCAAATCATACTACTAATGAGAACACTCGGAGATCGCAACCCCCTCCTAAGGGCAAGAGCCCTTTGATGTTTCATGCCTTTTAGTTTGATGTTTTATGCTGTCAGCATTGTTAATATAGAAATCTAGGATAGCATATAATGTTTTCTTGTCATTGTAAAGTAACATAATGTTGTATTGGGAAAATAATAACCTCAAACAAAGATTGTCCTCCTTTGACCTGTGATGTTGAACGCTACATTCTGAAATAGTGTATTTTATTTTCTTTACTCATATGAGTGGCTGTGGCTACAATGTAGCTTGCCATCACCAGTGTGTGAATGGGTGGATGACTGGTTGTGTAAAGGGCTTTGAGGTCCTTAGGGACTAGAAAAGTGCTATACAAATACAGGCCATTTACCATACGATTGGAGCAGAAGTGGCTGAAATCTTTTGTTGTCAATAAGCTGTAAAAACGTGACATTTTAACATATATTCACGCAGCGTGTGATTTTACGAAATTTTATGACATCACTCATTAAAAGTTGTAGGCCTTTCTTACCTATTCATGATTACCCCATGTGGAATGTAAATATTCTCGATGTCATCATGGTAGTGCTCGGGGTAGGTGAACAGGTCCAGACTGTAGCCTGGCCAATCATCTTTTATCTAGGACAGGCAAATTATTGCCAGGACCGATTATTGGCATATAAAAATATGTATAAACATATGCTGGGAAGATACAAAAATACATACATGCATATGCTACAATCATTATAGTGTGATGATGTTTGTTTTGATTGATTGATTGATATGTTTATTGATTAGCAATTTTTTTAGTTTTAATCAATTATTTATATTTATTTAATTTACGTTACTATAAAATTGATTTGCTTTTTCATTTTAGTTTCATTTAGTTGACTTGTGTGTCTTGATAAACAAAAAACTTTGGAAGTTATATATTTTTTTAAATCTCTGAATTAAAAAAAAACAACTAAAATTGAAAGCAGACAGTTGTCTTTACTGCTTTGTTTATTACAAAACCACAAAAGATATTAAGTAACAAAAAGGGGAATAATAGCCTCTAATAGCTGTAAAAGTAACTACCAAACACTACTTTAGCATAGATGTTTAAACATGGTGTTAAACATACCACAATTCTTCTTTTTATCCCCGCATTGTCCATCTGTAGCAGTGCTGACATTGTGGCACAACTTATAGGCGAATCCACGTGAAAGTGACCTTAAGTGGAAACACACAAAAACAGCTTACTTCCTTCTAAACAAGACAAAAGCGGTAACACGTAAAGAAACATATATTCAAATACGAACTTCACTAACATCCAGAGCAACATCTCTAATCTGTTGTTAACAAATCATCACTTACTGTTACTGTTGCCTTCTTTTCAGCGCCCACTCACAAAGCAGAGAGGGAAAATAGGAAGGCGAGGCATCCAGACGAGTCCCGGCCAGCCTCATGGGCCGCGCGATCACGCTTGAGTCATTTGTGCAAAAGGAAAGCGTTGTTTTGGTTGTGGAGATTTACATGGATAATCAGCTTCATGTGATGCTGTGCTGGCTCGTGGCCGCATCGCAGGCCACTGCGGACGGGGGAAGGGGGAAAGAAATCTAACAACAAATGATTGGTTCAGTATGTAAGCAGTAAATTTTATTCAGTTTTCTGAGGGATTATACTTTTTAAGGAACACAAGAAGAAATTATTTGTCATTTAATAAATGCTTAAATTTTAGCTCTGGATTTATATATTCACAGGAGGAGAAAAGAAGAGCTAGACTTGAAAATCCACTTGAATGAAGGGCTGCTCAGTGACAGCAAAAAATGTAATTGCAATTACTTTGGTCGATATTGAGATCACAACAATGTAATATGATTACTTTGGGAAA